TTGCATGCAATACTGCTTTCTAATCAGTGTGCTACTAAAGCTCAATCAAAATAATCATACTTCTATAAAAGCCATGTATTGTATTGCACTTTCTCCAGTGCTTCTACAGGAATAAAATAGCAGATTAAGAGATACTCAGTAATGTAGAACAGTACCAGATAAAATATGAGGTATTTTCTATAACTAACATTTCATCTTCATATATGTACATTTCAGGATCCAAGTGATACAAAATGTTTGTTCCACAATTAACTATGCATAATCTGGCTTGTCTTAAGAAATACTGAAGTATTCAGATCCTTAATTATCTTACAGAAATTTTACATTTGGAAATTAATTTTACTTTTTTGTCTATCTACACATTTTTTCAGCACTTGCAGCAATTTCCATAGAAACAGTTATTTCTCTAACTCTGTGAGAATCAGGCAGCCCTCAACAAATAGATGTTGCTAAATTACATTGCATTCACTAAAGGCTGGCATGTCACAGAAGGTACCCATGAATAGTGCACACATTGATTTCATATTATTCAATGAGTGAATTTCTTCATGCATTATAACCACTTCTTTGGGCTTCCACTCTATGTGGAATCTTTCTCTTCACATTTACAATAAATTGGCCTAAGTTGATTTTATACAAATGTTTTTAAACCATAATAAATTGCAGTTGAAGCACTTAAACTCATATTATATTGTTTCTGGCTGAATTCAGTGAATATATGTTTTGCAGTCTTTCATTTTAACAGCAATCAGAAATATGGATATAATGTGTACATGCTCATCATTCACATATTTTAAAGCTGTTGCCAAGTTGGTCTTCTAAGGATAACTTACTATCAGGCACTGTACAATAAACTAAAGGACGCAGCCAAAAACTATTTAGAAGAGTGTCAGACAATGCATGACTCCCCAAGATCCATATTAAGTTTCCAGCTTTGAAGGTCATGATGCTATCTATATTTACAAAGCAAAAAGTTCTGTCCAATGTTGTAGAAGAAGAGTTTGTTATTAGATCCTATATGTCATCTGATATCAACTTTAATATCTATGTTGCAATTCTTATGCATGACATTTGATCAGTAACAGCAACAGAGTCCCTGGCCTTAGAGATTACAATATAATACTTTCTAACTTAATGCATTTTCACATTTCCTGCCAGCCAAGAATAATAGGGAATTGAGAAAACTGAGAAAAAGCCATACAAGGGCATAATTACACAATTTATACTTAATAACTATCACACAGATAAACAATGGAAACACTGTATGAGTGTATTTACTCAGAAAATTCAGTCAACTATGACATTAACATGGAAAATTCATCAGTCTGGAACCCACACTACGTATCTGATATTAGCACAATTGAGAAAGTCCAGAAATATTTCACAAGAAGAGTTCTCCACTCCTCTACTCGTTGTAGAATACCTTATGCCACCAGACTTGAAATTCTAGAACTAGAAAACCTTGAATTACGCCGTCTTCGGTCTGACTTAAGCATGGTATACAAAATCATACATTGCAATGTCCTACCTGTCAATGAATACTTCAGCTTCAACCATAACAACACAAGAGCACACAATAGATACAAACTCAAAGTAAACCGCACCAAACTTGATTGCAGGAAATACGACTTCAGCAATAGAGTGGTCAATGTCTGGAATACTCTACCCGACTCTGTAGTTTCTTCCCCAAACCCCAAAAACTTTAACCTTAGACTGTCTACTATTGACCTCACCCCTTTCCTAAGAGGCCTGTAGGGGGCGTGCATAAGCGCACCAACGTGCCTACCGTCCCTGTCCTATTGTTTCTCTTATTCTTTTATTTTTCTTATATGTACCCATTTCATGTATTCACAACTATGTATACATTTATACTTATTATCTTGTAAACAATTGGCAAATCAAATAAATAAAATAAATAAATAAATAAAAGGTATTTAGCATATGTCTGGTCTAGACAACACTATAAAATGATGCCAGTCCTGACTTGTTGGTTTGCAGATATTTTGGTTGATATTCCAGTAGTCTTAGTCTAGATTCCTATTTAATAAAAGTAAATTAAAATTTAACAAGTTATGAAAGGAGTTGAAGCACCATAGACAGTATGGGGAAATACTTCTCTTTCCCAAGCTGTGCAGTGTCCTATTTAATGCTATTTGCATGCAGGCACATAAACATATTGTAATATAAAACCATTTTCCAGCTCCTCAAATGATGTCCAAAAACTAGATTTCCAAAAACTACAAAAAGTACTTTCCTCTATTTCTTTTTGAATAGAGGAAAGTACTTTTGCTACAATCTACCTCTAACCTCTGTGGTTAACGATTGTCACAAATTCACTTTCTATAACACACTTTAACCAAGTTTATCATCCCCTCAATGTAACCAATTCTTATTTGAGGACAAAACAAAAATATTAATAAATAATAAATCACTTGAAATTAAGGTATTCAAATTAATCATTTGAAAGTAATGAATTGTTGAGCATTTCAAAGAAGGTGTTTAACACAGAGAAGAAACTGCTTATACTGACTAGCAGAGCAAAAGGAACAAGGCAAGTGTAGGTTCTTGACTTCAGGAAAGCAATTTAATCTGTCAAAAACAAAACGTATTGGTATTCTTTTCCAGCCATTATTTCCTCAAGACTATTAACTGCACAATAGTTAAGTCTCTTTGTTTAACCGCACAATAAAAGCTTACAAACAGTCAAGCACATTCTGTTGGCCAAAAAAATAGTATATGACTCATTCCCAATCTCCTTTGCTCTTTTATTCCATACAACAGCTTTGCATACTTATACTTTGCATACTTAACATAACATATTAGCTGGCATTCCAAAAGCAATCCTTTTGATTTGCATGATGCGGTATAGCAGAACAGGTGCCAGAGTGTCACCCACAATTTTCTATTCCTATGGTAGATACATATAACTTAGTAAGAGGAAAATCACAAAAACTCTAAAATTTCTCATAAAAAATATTTTCTTTGGAGAAAATAGTATTGAGAAATATGTTTTCTCTTGTAAATGGGATAGAGGTTACAAGTTGGAGGGTAGGAGAGAATACTAGTCTAAATTGGTTATTAGTGTTGCAGATTAATGGTGGCTCTTTGTCCTACTTGCCAGTGTATCTATAAACTCAAGAGCTCTCCAAAAAAAAGTAGATCCTGCAGTTTTAGATGAATGTGTTATAAATGATCTACACTTAAGATAACCTTAGCTGTATTGAGGTTAGATCAGATTCTAACAGATTGGATTAAGTTCAGTTAATAGTTCAGATGAAACCTCAAGATACATAAAAACTATTTGTCACCAATTACCTCAAGACACTTGCTTGGATTTAATTTACTTACTGACTCAAAGATAAATGAATAGCACTTCAAATCGGCAGTGGCCTGATGCCCAGAATAGCAATAAAAAAATTAATAAAGAAATTTAAAAGACCATTTAGTCTACCTGTTAAAGCACCAAACTAGAAAACAAGTGAGTTTTAGTCCCATCTTAGGCATGAAAGCCGGCTGGATCACTTTGGACCAATCATTCTCAGCCCAACCAATTCACAAGGTTATTGCTGTGGAGAAAATAGGATGGAAGATGTATTAGGCATATTTGTAAAAGAGGGATATAAATGAATAAATAAGTAAAAATAAAATATGCTGTGTTGATTCCTTTAGTAAATAAATCAAAATAAAAAACTGCCTGTTTTGAGATTTTGGTTTTTATCCTTCTGTTTGGAGCAGATCTGTGTTACCAGTTTTAACTTTATACAGGTAGTCTTTGACTTACAACAGTTCACTTAGTGACCATTCAGAATTACAACAGCGTTGAAAAAAAAGCTTATGACCATTTTCCCACTTATGACCGTTGCAGCATCCCCATGGTCATGTGATTTACATTCGGATGCTTGACAAATGACTCACGTTTATAACGATTGCAGTGTCCCAGGGTCATGTGATTCCCCTTTTGCAACCTTCAGACAGGCAGTCCATGGGGAAACCATATTCACTTAAAAACCATCTTACTAATTTAACAACTGAAATGATTCACTTAACAACAGTGGCAAGAAGTCAGAAAATAGGTCAAAATTCACTTCACAAATTTCTCACTTAGCAACACACATTTTCAGCCGAATTGTGGTTGTAAATTGAGGACTACCTTTAGCCTTCTTCCACCAAAGGCTGTACAGTATTAATGGGAGTGGGAGTGGGGCTTTACTCTCAAAAAGTAACATTATGTTGTTTGCTCTAGCAAGAAAATAGGGTAGGAAAAGAGCTCTCTGGATAGAACATAAATACCAGGATAAAAAAAACCAAATATTTGAAAAGATTTGATACCTTGGTCCTTTCCTTTTTGTTCGCATTAAATATACTCCTTTTTTTTGCTTTTAATTCAAAGCACTGAGCAATCTATCCCTCTTAGGAATATTTGTTTCACCATGGTTGTTTTCTCACCCATTTTTGAATAACCAAATAAATAATCACTTTTTCCCCAACACCTTAGACATTGGGCCAGAACTCAAAACTGAATTCTGGTAAGTCTATGGAGATTCTCAATCATCCAGGTGCTTCCCCCACCCCCTTTTCTTTCCTTTTCTTTTCAAGAGACAACTGGACTTTCTTGATTTTCTTTGAAAGGGCTTCTTCAGCTCTGACTGGACGATGGGGAAGTTGTGAGAGTTGTTGTTGTTAAGAGCTACAATACTTCGGTTATAAAAATTCGATCTCTTTCCTGCCGTCTAGTGACCGACCCGACTTTTGTAACCCAGATACGGAAGCCTTAAACGACGATCAGGGGGAATTTGGAAGAGCCTAGATTGAAAGAGAGTAAAATCAGCCGCCGCAGGTCAAGGCGACCTACGAACTCCTGCGGCCCCGCTTTTTCTTTCTCGTTAGCCACGTGCTGACTCAGAACACCGAAAGGCGGCACAGGATTGGCCATTTTTTCCTTTAAAAAGGAGACCAGCCCCTTCTTTGCCCGCTGATTTTCCCCGCAGGCGTGGTGTGAAATGGCGAACTGCAGAGGATCGCGCAATGCCTATTATTTCTTCACGCTGGAGAAACTGCCGGAACTGAAGCAGCAGGGCCTGGCTGTGACCAACGTCGCTAACGCCATCCCGTATTGTTCCGATGCCTGGGCGGTGAGGGAGCGTGGCCGCGCCTTCTCTGTCGGTCTTGGGACCTGAAAAGAAAATCCTAGGACTAGCCACCCCTCAACTTGCAAGGGACCTGACCTGATATTCCCCTACTGGTTATTTATAGCGTCTTATAACGTAGTCCGACCCTTCCTAGTATAATACTAAGAAACCTTTATGTAGCCATTACTTCTTCGGATAAGACCAGAAGACGCGTTAAAGTGAGGCAATGGAGGTTGCAGAATTAAGACATAATAAAGGCGGACGGCAAAAATCAGGCCGGTAGTTGATGTCAGTTTATTTTAGATTCTTTTGCTGCTGAGATCTGGTAGCCATAGTTACAAAACCTTTCTGAAATTGGGGCTTTGTGCTCATTCTCTAAAATGGCTTTCTTCCTGAATTTAACACATGTATATTCTTTACTGCTTTCCAAACCTTGCTGAAGAAAGCTGCAAAATCTGGACAGTGCTTAAACTGTTTATATCAGAACTGATATGTGGAGATATTTCCAAGCACTAATTTCCTGGCATTTAGACATACCGATGGGACTGGCAAAATTGTTTTGCAACCTAAGCAAGATTTGCTTCCCAAATATTTCTCCATTGTTAGAATTTTAATGTTAGTGATAGCAATTACACTATTATAAAATAGAATTTTATTTTATTAGATTTTTATCCTGCCCTCATTTTATAAGAAGCTCTAGGCAGCAAACAAACCTAATACTCCTTCCTATTTTCCCCAAAGAAACTATCCTGAGAGCTTTCATGCCCAAGGAGAGACAAAAACTGGTTTTGTATTTCTAGGCAGCACTAACTACTGTACATAAATTGTTTCCTACCTCAGTTTTGGTTCTAAAAACAAGATACATTACTTTTAAAATAACTATAGTTAGAATGATGTTTCAGCTTTCCACTGACAGTATTTATTCAGAATAAGATGCATTGATCTGTTACATAACACTTGAGAAAGAGCACCATATTGAAGTTATTAAACCTACTCTAACATTTGACTACAGTGAATTACCATGTTTGACTTTCCCAAATGAATATTGCCAAAAAGCAACCTGTTGGATTAAGTCAGTGGATGATTTGGCAGAAAACATTGAGAAAATTATGCAAAGATTTATGTAATTGTTTTTACTCCTAAGCTACTTAATGAAGAGCAAAAAGAAAGATATGCAGAAATGGCTCGTCGGTGGAAAGCTACCAAGTCAGAAGTAGTAGCAGAAAAGGTAAATGAAGAATGAAGTATTTAAAGCCTGTAAATATGATTATTTTCAAGCACAATTGAGTTTAAATTGGGGAATAAGTAATAACAATTACCCATAGGTATGTAGAGAAAAGTACTGATGGATTCTGTACTTTTCCCATGTTTATAATGGAGAGCAGATTGTCTAGATTAATCTCAAATAGTAGATTAAATCTTATAAAAGTATGAAGATAGCTACAGAGATTGATTATTTAGCAGCCTATGATTATGTGCTATCAAATTGATGCCTGAAACCACGTAAATTTTCTCTATGATAATCTATCCATAACCTTTTTTCAAGTCTCCCAAATAATTCATCTATTGCCACTGTAATGGAGTCCATACACCTTGCTGCTTATAATTTTCTTCTTTTCACCTTCTACATTATTAGAGCCTTAATGTCATATTTATACATTGCATTTTTCCCTTACTATTTTAAAAATAGAAGGGAAGTTTACATAGCAAGGTTACTAGTACAGTAATATTTGGAAATGTGTGCTATAATTACTTCTAGGTCTGCGAGGATATTCAGACCTACAAGAATAGAAGAAAAAAAGTAGAGATGTTACTGTCTTCCCATTCCTAAAGACTTTGTTCAACTGAGGAAAGGAAAATGGCATGGCTATTATTCTGATAGCATAGGATATGTAGCTTAAAGCACTGTTTCTGGAAACTTAATTTATTTTAAGAATGCCCAGCATTCTTGATGAGTATTGGCTGTGCTGCATGAAGATATTATAAGCGGATATACATATAATAAATTCAGTAATGCTGCTACTATCTGTATATATACACATGCGCACACAGACACATAGGTAGGTAGGTAGGTAGGTAGGTAG